TAGGAGCCTGAAGCAGAAGTCCGTGAGAAGTATCTAGACCTATTTATTGATGTTTGAACATGTATTGAAATCTTTGTTATATTAATGAAATATAAACATTGCATATGTCTTGGAAATGTGAATTGTATATTCAGTATTGAAAGCTCGTTTATCATCTTGATAAGAATGGATGACTAGTGGATGCGTCATGGTGATGAATTTGAATGACTATCATTGTGTAATTGGTTTAAACTTGATTTTAATGTTTGGTTTAAATTTCGGGGATGAAATTCCTGTGAGAGAGAGAGAGAGAGAGAGAGAGCGGGGGGGGGGGGGGGGGGGGTAAGGTTATAGCATTTCTAGTTTAGACCCAATCCATTATACGTTTTGGATTCAGGTTTCATTGTCTTATATAGTTGTTCATGTCTTGGTCCCCCATATCTCTCTTTGAGTTTGGCTTTTGGGACGTATTAGTTACGTTTGGAACAGGTTGGTAGCTTGTTTTTTAAGTTGTTGATGCCCAAAATTTTGTTCCTACGCTTGAACGACACTTCTTGTGCTCGAGCGGTCTTTGTGAACCTCCAGTATTTTTGCAAGTCTGTAAAAATACTGGGAGTGTGTATTCTTCGCTTGAGAAACGGTCTTTTGTCTGTAAAACTACTAGGAGTTTGTATTCTGCGCTCGAGTGAAACTTCTTGTGCTCGAGTGGTGAAACTTATTTTGTCTGGTTGCTCGAGCGACACATCTTACGCTCGAGCGAGCTGCGCGTATATCAGCTCGTAAAGTCACTTTTCTGAGTCACCTTTTCACCCCTCTCTCTAAACATTTCAAAACCCTAATTTCTCTCACTCTCTCTCTAAAACTCATCTATTTCCCTTGAATATACATAGATTCGTCGATCTCTTCATCCGCGTCTCTTTATTAAAGAGGTAGAGCTTGATGAGGGCTTCGTTCTAATCGAAATAAAGTTGATTTTCGGCATCTTTGAGTTTCCATCCCTCCTTCAATCATTTTCTAAGCTTGAGGTAGGGATATCTTCACTCTTTTTATGAGTTTTAACTTAGTTATTTGTTATTTCTAAACAATATTGAGATTTTGGAAGATTTGGAACAATCTAGGATTTTGGGTAAAAATCAAAGAAGGGATTTTTCAAATGGATCCTTGAAAATGATTTTGATATAGAAATTAATATGTTGAGTTGGGAATAGATAGTTGATCTTGATCTTTGGAATTGATTTTGGAAAGGAAAGTGATTTTACCCTAAATGCTTCAAATGTTGATTTTATATAAATGATGAGATTGATGTTAAAATTGTGAAATTGGATTGATGTTGATGAGGATGGTGGATTTAGTTATGTATTATCACTCATCTCTTGAAAAATTAGGGACTTTATCTCTACTAATAATTGTTTATTTGTTTAAAAATATCTGTTTTGAGCTATCGGTGGAGGATAACTATGAGTGTTATAGAAATTGCATGTGAATTAGAAGAATTGAAACTATTTTCTCATTAATTTGCATTGAGCATTATCTCACACTTATACATTGGAAATGTTTATCTTTTTGAGACAAATGGGTGAATCTGGGAAACATGTATTGTAATGTTGAAATAAGTTGGCCTGAGTGTCTATGGTGAAAGTCCTAAAAACCGCGCATATACATGGATGCCGATCCCGCGGATGAAATTTTCGTGAAATGACAATAGTAGTGCTTGTATAGCTTACGTTTACATGGGTTCCGGTTTATGGTTTCCTCTGGACAAAATTTTTGAGAAATGTTGTATTGTTTTGAAATTTCCAGTGCGTGATCCACTGCCTTATCTTTTCATTCCAAAGGATGTGATTTATGATATTATTATGGCATTGCATAGTTTTGGAAAGAGATATAAAAAATGTTTTGGCATGAGTATTGCATATGCATTTACCTTATAGTTTTGTTAAGATTCATATACGGTGTTGGATTATTTCTATTGGGCTTTGGCTCACCCCATGTGGGAAAAATATTTCAAGTGCTGATGATATACTTCTGTCAAGGCAATAGCTTGGAAGGACTTGGTACGAGAGCTCCTTTTGTGTATTTACTTAATTAAATTACAATGTCAACTATATAAAAAAAATTCAATAACAACTAACCAAGAAAGAATCACATAACAATATCTAAATCTAAAAAGAAAAAATAATGAAAACATCCAAATAATAGATACATCTTAGTACGTGAAGTGATTAATCATTTGTAATATGATGTCAAAACATGAAAGAACTTACTGTTCAACAATTGAAAAAGTAACTCAAGCAATAAATCCAAACTTTAGAAGTTTCTCAAAAGTATCATTATTGTGTAAGTTTTTCTTCCTATGAGTTGTGATTATATAAAATAATATAGAAAATGAAATATAATTTCATATATATAATCACTATAAAATTTAATCGATAAATCTATATTATAGAATAATATAGAACTGATGTTTAGGGGTTGGGTATAGAATAATGCAAGGGAAAAAAGGGGGGGGGGGGGGGCAATTTAGCATTAAAAAAAAAAACTTAATACTCTTGAAAGAATTAAGAAGAAAAATGAAAAATGAAAAATTGGTATTAGGTTTGTGAATTATCTCAATTTACCATGAAAAACATATGAAAAATAAATATTTGTCAAATAGAGTGCATATAAAATAAGTAAAGTTAATATAATTTAAATTATGTTTGGGTTCATGCAGAACTCTATATGTAATTAAGAAAATAAATACTGATGTGACTCTTTTAGAAAAAAGTAAGCCTTTATAATGTGCCACTTAAGCATGGGGAGAACACTACTTTTAATAATATATATTAACAATTGACTTGTGCAATGCACGTTCTATATATATATATATATATTTGATAGTACAATGTGTGTTATAAAAGAATAATTTTAATTTTAAATTAAAATTAAAGTTAAAGTATGATTTTAATTATTTATTTTGATAATATTGACACTATTGTTCTATAAAATTGTTACTTGAATACTTATATATATTAATTTTAGTTAAATTATTTGTGTATTTTGATAATTTTAGTTATATCGTATTATAAAAATGTAATTATCATATAATAATTTTATATGATATGCATTAAATTATAAAATAGTAAAATAAATACTCATTTTGATATTAAAAGTAATAGTTAAATTAAAAGAATAATTAGTAACATAAAATTAAAAGTAATTCTAACTATTTAATTTTCTTTTATATTCGTTTGGAAAATAAAATATGTAGAAATAGAAATTATATAAAATTTATTAAAAAAATTAAATATAAATATGTTGTAGTTGGATTATCATATAATAATTTTATATGATATATATATATATATATATTAAATTATAATATTGTAAAATAAACACTCTTAATTAAATTAAAAATCAACTATATATAAAAGAAATTCAATAACGACTAACGAAGAAAGAATTACATAACAATATCTAAACCCAAAAAGAAAAAATAGTGAAACATCCAAACGATGGATATATCTTAGTATGTGAAGTGATTAATCATATGTAATATTATGTCAAAACATAAAAGAACTTTTTGTTCAATAATTGAACAAGTAATTCAAGTAATAAATCCGAACTTGGAGGTTCTTCGAGAGTATCATTGTTGTGCATGTTTTTCCTCTAGTGAGTTGTGATTATATAAAATAATGTAGAAAATGAAATATAATTTCATATATAGAATCACAATAAAATTTAAACGGCAAATCTATAATATAGAATAATATAGAATTGGTACATGGTATAGAATAATGCACGAGAAAATATGAAAAAAAAAAAGAAGACAATTTAATATTAAAAAAATTGTAATACCCTTGAAACAATTAAGAAAAAAAATGTGAAACACAAAATTAGTATTGGGTTTGTGGATTATCTCAATTTATCATGAAAAATATATGGGAAAGAAATATTTGTCAAAAAAAGTTCATATAAAATAGGTAAAGTTAGTATAATTTAAATTAGGTTTGAGTTTGTGTAGAACTCTGTATGTAATTAAAATAGGTAAATTTATTAGTATAATTTAAGATAGGTAAAATACATGCTGACGTGGCTCTCTTAGAAAAAAGTAAGTACTTATAATGTACCACCTAAACATGGGAAAAACACTACTTTTAATAATAAATATATGATTTGCATGCACTATTTAAAGCTATTGTAAACTCAATATACGTGTACATAAAATGTCTAAAATACTTTTTCCGTTAAATTTAATGACTAAATACCTTTTTTCCATCGATTTTACTTAACAAAAATAAAAAAGATGTTTTAGATTGAAAATAAATCAAAAGAATAGGATTTAAATTAACAAAATTAAAATCTTAGTGTTTATTTTGTTACAAAGGTCAAATCCTAAAGTCTGTTTTCGTAATTTTCCCTAGAAAAATTGTATAGAATTATTATACAAAATGATATGACTTACTATGATAATTAATTTACAAGTACGTTGCTGCCAGTAAGGAAATTTGAATAAAAATGCAGCAGATTTAACATTTTTGTTTTTGCATTATTATTTCATCATTTGATTCTCCGAGTTAGCATGGAGAAGTTGATTGCCATTCTTCTTCGGAGTTGACACCCTTAGTCACTGGTTCTTCAGAGGAGTTGATAGCCAATGACACTGGAATGACTAGGTCCCAACTCTTTAAGAAAAAATAATTTTCAATCATCTAAGAAGGGTCCTTTTTTTGATTCAATTGCATAGGACTATTTCGAGTTTCAATATGGTCTCTGGCTACTTTGTTATTCGCCATGGCGAGTGTACAACCATAGTGGAATTGCATAGAATGAGGGCAATGTCTCCCTGGTTTCATTCTGTGTAGTTTGTGTGTTTATATATTTAATGTTGTAACATTTAATTCGAATGAAGAGTGTTTCTTAGATTTTTAGATTGCATCTTATTTGAATATTTTGTGATTCATACTTTTGTTGTGTTGCAGTAAAGGTTATTGGATAATGTTGACCTGGGAATAAATGTTTCAGGAGGGTCATTTAACAATTATGTAATGAACATTGCAGATTGCATGCCCCGAATTGAGTTTATTGGCCATTGGTTGGGTGCCAAACATAACAGATGTGTGGGACAGGAAATTACTCCCAACAGGGTCTTTTTGTCGACTAAGAGAGGTGAGGATCGAGGGATGTGACAAACTGGTGAACGTGATTCTGTCCAATATGCTCCCACGATTGCAGAATTTAACAGAACTCTCTGTACAATACTGTCCAATGGTGGAAGAGATATTATCGGAGAAAGAGGAAGAAAAAGAAGATGCAGAAGCCAAAGAAAATACCATCTTGTTCCCTCAACTAAAGAGTCTAGAACTTGGATCTCTGGAGAATCTCATAAGTTTCTGTACTTCTAGACTAGCAGCACAACACTTCTTCAAACACCCGGTATGAATGTCCTTACCCTTTTTAGTTGACCTTGGAAATAGGAAAACACATAATAATATATGTGCACATAAGCATATGCATTTATACAAATAAAAGTATGAATACCGTTTTCATTCAAATCCCTATATCTGACACCACACCATATCCATCTTGCTCTTGATCATAGTTATGCATCCTTTAAAGATTTAGCAAACAAGTAGATTCAGCTATATTGCTTTAGGAATGTAAATTGCAATTACACAACAGATGTTTTGCAACATATGCAGCTCTACATCAAAATCCATGAAAATCCCCTTTGTATATCTCTATAAAAAGAAATCCTTTTGCTTAATGAAGTGACGAGTTTTACTCCTCTGCAGTTTATAATTTTTAGTGTTTTTGGAAGGAATTCAGCCAGTAAGCACATTTACAAAATTTAGTGTTAAATCACAAAATTTACATGCTAGATTGATGGAGAATGTGAGGTAGTATAAAGCAGTTGTAGGCAATGGTATGGACTGTGGAAAAAGTGGGTTAAATGACTTTCTTTGGTGAGAGAGTAGTTGGGGTTCTTTTTCCAGATTGTTATGGTTTGTTGTAGTAGAATTTGCAATTGTAGGTGATATGATGATTTGAGTGGGTCCTTTTTTTTTTGCATAATTGATGCTTTTGTTTATGGTTTCCCAGTCCTTGAGCTTGTAAAACTAGGCATTAACTGACATATTATATCTGATAATCTGAATTTGTAATTATCCATCACAAACCCCTCTGTCCTTGTATCTCTTTGATTTATCAATGAGAGCAAAAGGAGAGCAACACAAGGCACCCAAAAAACAGAAAAAAATGGTGGTCTTTCAGATGAGCAGATGAAAAGGCAGAGAATTGTGGGCTATATTGTCCATCTAAACTCCTAATATAAAAGTATGGTAGAACCAATCTTTATGCTAATTATTTATTATTATTATTGTTATTATTATTATTTGCAGTATAGAAGTATCTAAAATATATGTTTTTAAAGAAAATGAAAATTTCTAAATAAAATTCACTAAGGTAAAAAAAAAATAAAAATAAAAATAAAAAATCAATTGGAAACACAACTTCTTTCTCTTTCCTATCGGTTTGGTGTAAATCTCAAATAAACACTGATCGTTCCGAACCGATTACACCCATAATTCTTGTGAAAAAAATAAAAGAAATGGGCAGTAGACTATTAAAGCAAACCTTGGTAAAAGGATAAATTATAGGGGTTATTACATCCCAGTAATGTCAGAAAAAATATATATACAAATTCATGAAAATATTTACAAATTTAATTACTATTACTATTTATAAAGCTTTTCATTGATTTGTACTTACTTTTTTAACATTCCCCGAATGTGAGATTTCCCCAAAATTATTTTAACACCTTTTGAAGTTTAAATTTAATACAGTTCTCCCCTCTACCTTGCACAAATTACCCTGCAACCCTCGTAAGTGTCTAATTTGTGATTTGAGTTAACATAAAATTTAAAATTACCTTATTACCCTCACACTCTAAAATAAAATTACCTAGTTATCCCAATCTAATAGTAGAATCTTCTTTCTCAACCCACTCTCTCATCCTCATCCTTCATGGAAAATTATTAGGTACTTCCGGAGTATCATGTGTCCATATTCCTTCACCAATTATCATTCAACATGCCCTCTAATGTTCCTCAATCACACAACACAAAATCATAATACTCTACCTTCTCCACCAATCATAATACAATGGAACACCACATGACTGTTCTCCAGGAGTATCCAATAATCACCCTTCTTCATACCATCCACCATAACCAACCAAAACATGTCCCATTTGTGTCACTGCCACCAAATCCATCACTACCACACCACATCATCCATGTTTGTCATTACCACAACCATTGACCAAATCCTTACTACAACTCCAATGTCAATCTCCACCACATCTACCAATGTCCACCCAAATCATGCCGACGTTATCAGACTTGCCATGTTCTTTGGGAATGAAAATGCCTACCAGTGTCCAAGGACATCAAGAGTATTACAGACCAAACCTGGTAATCTCATTTTGTGTAGTTGAAAGGTTAAGACCTTTGTCCTGGTTTGTGATTTGCTATATACTGAGTACAACCCTCTCGGGGACTTGTTTAAGAATAAGAAAGAGGAATCTCATGTAAATACCATGAAATAAGGTTGCAAGAGAGAGAGACTTGATGAAGATTTTATGTGAATAGGTGATGATTGTGAGAAGATGGTGAGGAAGAGATGAGAAAGAAATTGATTGTGGAAATAGGGATTGCTATGCTCGATTTTAAAGGCAGAAGGTTGTAATGTGGGGTTTTAGGGGTAAACATAGCATTTTTAAAATAATAATTGATGACATAAACAAAATATGTTAGTTGACTCAATGGTCAATTAACAGAGCATGAGTTTTGTACTGTGACCATAAATCTTTGGGAGGGGATGTAATTTGTAGAACTACAAGGGTACTGATGTATTAGAGAGAAACCTCAGAGGGGTGTTAGTGTAATTTAACCTTGCGAACATTTCGCATTTTGACACTGTAGCAATGTCAAAATTTGGCTTTGACTAGCAATTTTAGCATTTTAGCATTAAAGATGCCCTTAGTTATGGGACCATCAGTTAAAAAAAAAAAACACAATCAAGGTGCTTTTTTAAAAAAATGGCCTCTGTTGTGCCATTCTTGTCCAGATGAATTCTGGAAAAGTTTTAGGGCAACACAGTGTTTAGTTGATATTGCCTATCATTTGCACATCCACACGAGCTCATTAATTCATGGTGTAGCGGTTGTTGGAGAAATACTGACTTCACCAGAGGAGTGAATTGATTTGGAAAAGACACTTATGAAATGTGCTGTGATTCGTGAACTACTTTGCAGGCTGCTTTTGCTGCCTTGGAAGAATTGCACATTTGCAACTTGCCTAACATAATAGAGATTTGGGGGAAGCAATTACTCCCAGTTCCAAAAATAGACGCACAGTCCTTCGAACAATTGGCTGTCGTGAATGCCACTTGGTGTGATAAATTGGTGAATGTGATTCCCTCGAGTATGTTTCCAAGGTTAAAAAATCTAAAATCAATTTATGTAAAAGGTTGTCCGGAGATGGAAGTGATAGTCTCGAAGAAAGCAAATGCAACTGTCAATGGCGATATCATTTGTTTTCCTGAGCTAAGTTCTCTGTCAATTGACAAATTGAATAACCTCAAAAGTTTCTGCAGCAGCTCTCCAAGTTCGGAAGCACAACCGTTGTTTAATGACCAGGTACAGATGTCCTAACTCTTTTAATTAACTATGGCCATCGGAAAGCACAATAAAAAGTATTTTTATTCCAATGAAAATATTTGTTTTGAGTTTAAATTTGTACTTGATACAAGTCCTAATATTGTACATAAGTTGATTGTACCACACCATGGGGTCATCATGAGTCCTACTCTTATATTTAAAGCCTTCATTCACGAAAAACTAGAGATTTGATCTATGATTATAGCTACATGATTTTAATATTTTTTTTTTTTTAGAAAAAATGAATAGTAAGTGTGTTTTTAAAAATAAACCTTCTATTTTTTTTTTAAGACATACAATAAAATCATGAGGTTAAGATTAATGAAACAATCTAAATATTTTTGTGAATGAATTACACACATGGGGGCCAAAATGAAATTACACTTGCTGAATTTTGAATGGAAAAATATCATGCGTAAAACTAGAGAGATCAAGCTGAAATTCAAACAAACTATAAGGACTACTAGTGTAATAAATAAATTATATTGCACCGGTGGTCCTATAGTTTGTTTGAATTTTAATTTGGTTCCTCTAATTTTGTATGTGATTTTTTTTCCTTTTAAAATGTTAACGGTGTATAATGGAGGAATTACATTACAATAAAATTGCAATCTCTCATAGCTTGACTTTTTTCTTTTCACTTTTTAAATTAGTGTTGTTTGATAGGGATATCTGGGAGTTTCTAAATATTAGTTTAACAATAATGTAATAAACCTCGCAGGTTGTATTCCCTGTTTTGGAGGATCTGTTCATAAACAGAGTACGAAACATAACAAATATATGGGATAAATTGCACTCAAGAGAGTCGTTTTGTTTTTTGAAGCGCATGATGATTGAGGATTGTGAAAAACTGGTGAATGTTGTTCCGTCTTATATGATTCCACAGTTACGAAATCTGGAAGTAGTCAATGCTTTTAGTTGTCCAAAGATGTTAGCAATAGTCTCAGAGGAAGAGGGAAAAGAAGACGATGAAATTCCCATCTTGTTCCCTAAACTAACTACTTGGAATCTCAAAAGTTTGGACAGCCTCAAAACTTTCCACACACAACCCTTCCTCAACCACCAGGTACGAACTGAATGTCCTTCAACTCTTTTTTATAGTTGTCCTATGTTTTATGATAGACCAATCCTATTATTCTACCTGATGACTCGTACTTATCAACTAAAGTCTCAACAAAATGTCGTTTGCCAAAACTTAGGTCATGTTTGTTTGGGCGGACTGGATTAGTATTCCCATGACTAATAGTCCTAGGATTACGAATCCGTTGGATTATGTATCCTATCTTAACTAATAGTCAAGTTTAAAATAATTAGTCCGTACTTTAATTGTTTAACCAAACATCGGATTAATAATTTTATTGGATTATTAGTCCAATCCCAAGCTCATATCCACCCAAACAAACATGGCCTTAGAGTATACTTTTTCCTCCCCGTTTCCAATTTTACGCTTAGCAAAGCTCATACATTTTTTTTTTCTTCCTATAATAGAAAATAATTTTATCCACAATCATACCAAAAAATATTGCCTATAATCTTATTTGTTATCCTATTTTCACACTTCAAGACAAAGGGTGACTGAATCTCCGGTCATTTATTAATGTGGGTCCTACTATTGAGAAAATTATTAGGTATCCCGGAGTACCATGTTTGCATATTCCTTCATCACCATTCTCTTTCATGTTCCTCAATCACCCAACACAAAATCATAATACTCCACATTCTCTACTAATCATAATACCATACTCAATGATCACCCCTGTTGTCTTATGTCTAGAGTAAGAAAATAGAATTAGAAAAAATATTATGTATACTCTTTTTCTTGTATTAGATGTATAGTACATCCAACGCATGCCATCCCTTGATCCATTGGTGATGAAGTCGAATTTTGGCTCGTCTAATATCACAAAACATGAATCACCATCATCATTGAAGTTCAATTCCAATAAGCAAATTATCCTACTTCATTAAGTTACTAAACAATATGACAAAATAAATTTTGAAATGTTGCACGTCCAAAGTTGAAAAATTTCTGTCTCGATCAATATTTACAGCAACGACTTTTGAAAGGAAAGGTAACCGTAAAATGTTATGAATTCTAATTTGCAAAATTTCTTCCTCAACCAGATTTATGGTGAATTACTTTTATTCATTTGACATTTTTTTTTTTAAAATCTTGGAATAATATGAAACTAAATTTCCTATATTAATATTTGCTTGTACATCATTTTCCTTTTATTTAGGAATGTGCAATTATGAATGATGATAAGGAAATTGAGCAGGACAAACGACGACTTCTGAAAGGAAAGGTAATCATGAAATATTACGAATTCTAATTCGCTTAATTTCTTCCTAAGCCAGATTTATTTATTTATTTATTTATTTTTTTGAATCATGGAATAATATGAAACTAATCTTATATATTTTTACTTCCTTACATGTCACTTTACTTTTATTTAGGAACGTGAAACTATGAATGAAAATGATGATAAAACGTTGGAAAGGAAAAGGTAATCATGAAATGTTACGAATTTTAATTTGTATAATTTCTTCCACAATTAGATTTATGGTGAATTACTTTATTTTATGTGACAAATTTTTATTTTTAATTTTTAATTTGGAATATTATGAAACTAACTTCCTATATATTTTTGTTTTCTTGTATGCGGCTTTCATTTTAATTAGGAATTTCGCAATTATGAATGAAAATGATGATGATAAAGAAGTTGAGAAGGGCAAACAAACATTTGTCCAACATTTGACTACGTCTATGACTGATGGTAAAATGGCATGCGGCAAACCGTAAAGTAAGTTGATCATCCTTCACTATTATTATGAGAGGAAATATCATTGTGCCTCTCAAAATTTCACGTGTTTTTAAGTTGATTCTCAAATTTCGATTAATATTAATTTTACACCTAAATTTTTGAAATTTTGATCAATTTGACTCTGGTCATCACATTTTGTCTACAATTGGACGGAAGGTGTTGACATGACACTAAAGTTCATTTGGAATTTCATTTTACCCCTCAAATTATACCTTAAAAATCAATTTACCCCCCGAAATATAAAAAATAAAAATAAAAATTTAAATATTTAATAAATAATTTTTTTTGAAAAATTTACCTATAAATCTCATTTTGAAGAATGATGATCCATTTAGTCCCAAGAATTTTTTTATAGACCAATTAGTCCCATTAATTTTGGAAATGCAGATTTAATATATTATTTAGAAATTAGATTTACGGTTATATCATTATTTCTATTATATTTCCTTTTCATTTTTTCTTTTGTGCTAGAAAGTTAATTTACACAATCTATGAGAATCAAATTTGGAATGAATTTTTATATGAGAATCTTTTTTATTTGGAAAACATTTTAAAAGGCGTACAAAAATGACTTGAAATATGAGATCCTTCAAACATTCCAAAAAGATGTGGGATTCTTCAAACATTTCAAAATGAGTACAAAAATCCCTTAGTAAACATTGGGCAAATGTATAATTTCAAACCGTAACACTCCAATATAACACTTAAACGTAACACTCCAATGTAATACTCAAAATAAAATAAAATAAAATAAAATAAAAATTTCTTAATGTACTTTTTCTAAACGTAACATTCCAATATAGCACTCCAAAAAATTCCTTAGTGTAACATTCCAATGTAACACACAAAAACTCGTTGATGTACTTTTTTCAAACGTAACAATCCAATGTAACACTCCAAAAAAGAAAAAAGAAAAAATGGGATTCTTCAAACAATTCTGAAAGGATGTGGGATTTTTCAAACTATTACAAAGGAAATACAAAAATTCCTTAGTAAGTTTTGAGCAAACATATAATTTCAAACTGTGAGTGTTACGTTTAGAAAAATTACATTAAGAATTTTTTCAGTATTTTTGTTTATTACATTAGAGTGTTACGTTTAGGATTACATTGATTGGGGTGTTACGTTTGGAAAAGTACACTAAAGAGTTCTTTGTGTGTGTTACATTAGAATGTTACGTTTGGAAAAAGTATACTAATAAGTTTTTTTTGGAGTGTTACGTCGTTACATTTAGGAAAAGTGCACCAATGAGTTTTTTAGTGTTTTACATTGGATGTTACGTTAGTGTTACATTATAGTGTTACGTTATTGGAGTGTTACATTTTTTTTTCCCTCGTAATGTGGGATTTGTTCTAGGAGGGAAAATCCAAAACCTCTATAATGCAAATTACCCAAATGTGTAATTTTACATTTAGAGAAACCCACTTTTATCCTTAGAAAATTAAATCCAAACATGTAAGTGACTATCATTTTGTGTAATTTTCACTTTAATAGGACTTTTGGGTTCATAAGAAAAATGGAGGACTAAACAGCTTACAAGATCACATTTTGAGATTTATTAGTGCTTCACTCATTTTTTTCCTCAATAATGAAAAAATTAAAATTTAAATAATATATACTTTGCAAAAAATTAATAAAAAATTTAAAAATCCTCATTTTGAATTATCTTGAGACTGTGAAGTATGAGTACGTTGAAAAACATGCTGTACCCATGCTAGGTACTTATCGAATTTTGATTTTTTTTTTTCACTCAATTTTGAAATTATTATTAGTCAATCAATTCTATTAAAATTAATTTGGGTAATAAATTAGTTACAACTGCGCGCACACACATAGAATAATCAAGAAATTTTTAGCTCAATAAGTTTGGATCGACTTGAAATAATTTGAGACCTATGAAGCACATGTACAGATATGAGTACTGGTATTGGTATGATATGGATACGTTAACACGGTAAAATATCAACCAAAAAAAAAGGTATAGATACGGCTTAATGCGTTTGTAAAAAATATTTCTTTTTAATTTGAAATAAAATAAAAAAATTGATTAAATGGTTTAATTTGTTAAATCCAACATACAATTGACATTTAATGCCAAAAGTACAGGTATAAGATAAATCAAAATTAAATATCATTATATTAAATAACTTTCAAATCATAACTTAATTTTAAAACCATACTAAGTACAAAATTAAAAATGAAAAAGAAGTCTAGTAAAAAGAATTTTATCTTTGTAGTAAAAGAAAATATTGTTCAACTGAGGTATGGCACGACTTGGGTATATACTAGGTATGTCTGGGTACGTCAAAAATTAAGAAGAAAAAAAATTTAAGTGCGTGTTTTGTGCACTCGATACGTATGCAGAAATACTATACGTAAGTACCCGATAAGGGTACGAAATGTTTGTCGAATTATCCATACTTGGTAGTCTCAAGATAATTTTAAATGAGAATTTTTATATTTTTTATTATTTTTTTCAATGTATATGTTATTTAAAATTTAATTTTTTCATTATTGAGATAAAAATTATTTATTAAATATTTAAATTTATTTTTTTTTTAATATTTAAGGGGCAAATTGATTTTTAAGGTATAATTTGGGGTGTAAAATGAAATTCCAAATGAATTTTGGTGTCACGTCAGTACATTTTGTCCAATTGTAGATGGAATTGTAGGACAATCTTCACTGTATTTAAATAGATTAAATTCTGTTGTGTACAAAACAACAACAAAAATAAAAGAAATAGATAAAAGGAGAGAATTTGTTTGATTACAAAAATCAAACTCGAAATAATAATAAATAAATAAAACCACAGATTTTATTTTGTTACAAAAACAAAAATAAAATCTGATTAAATAAACAAATAAAAACAGAATAAAATTAAACGACTTACTTGGTTAATTTATTTGAATAACTTTTCTGATCAAGTCCAGTGTTTAACACTGTGTCCTTAAGACAGATTCGTCCTCTCCACGGTGCTTTCAGAATTTGGACGTCTATCTCCCAGGATGAAATGATCTTACCACAAACAATAGCAGCACTACAATTAAATTCAAATGGGAGGCTAGTCTATTTATAGATGTAAAGGTGGCTTTTGGTTTTGAATTGAACAGGTATGATACCTGTTGGTTTTGAATTCAAACAGATAGCAAAACGGGAAGGGCTCTGTTTGGATGAGCAATAAATCCAAATCAGTTTAATTCTGTTTGAAAACGGGAAGGGCCCTGTTTGGATGAACAAAAAATCCAAACCAATTTAATTTGAATTCTGGATTTTATTTTAATAAAAATAAAATTAAATTCAAATGTTTTTGGCCCAAAAAGATTAGAAGCCTAACCCAACCACACACCAGCGCCCAAGCCCAGCCCGCCTGACCGCGTGTGCGGTGATTTTTGGGTTCAATGGGTCTAGCCCATTTTGCCCATAACCTCTCCCTCTAAAACACTTGGGTACCCCTTGGGGCACAACCCAAGTATCTCACCCTAAGCCTTATAAACCCTTTCAAAACTTCCCACCAAATCAATGTGGGACAAGCCAATTTACAACCTTAAGGAATTTCCACCAAAACTCCATTTCCATGGAGCACACTTTGGCTTCAATTTCCCATTCACTCGGTAATGGTTTTGAGCAACCAAATATACCACGTGAATCACAACGCGGCATAGAACGCGTTACCACTTTGACCCGAGTAAATCGACACTCGGGACCCACCTAAAAAATAGACCAAACTTGAGGAAAAATTCTGGTTTTACCCAGAATTTTTTTCACCATTTCCAACAATGGAATGTGATAGCTGGAGCCAAATTGATCAAAAATTTGAAAGTTTGGGTGTAAAATTGATATTAATTGAAGTCTGGGGGTCAAATTGAAAAATGCGTGAAAGTTTGGGGGTCAAAATGATATTTTCTCTTATTATGAGGAATGTTACTGACTAAGAAATAAAACACTAAATAAATAAATAAAATTAAGAAAAAAAATGTGTAACTCAGATTCATTCTAAGTGTAGGATTTACAATACAAATGTTAGATCATAACCACATTTTTTTGTATGTGTGTGGATATTTATGTGTTTGATTTCTTTGTCTAGGGTTAGTCCTATTATTATTGATGGAACTGGCTTCCCTCCAATCCACTTTTTGGACGGGAGGGTACAATTTTGTATATTGTGAGCTCATTTTTGGTCTATTTTAGTAATTCGAACCTTTCAACTTTTAGTGTCTTCAAATTAAATTATTCATGAAAAAAAATTAGGTTGATTTGATATTGATAGTCACATGTTTCAATCAAATTTGTCTTTTGAAAAAATGGATTGCAAGTATAATTTCACAAAAAATAGACCATCCATATTTTTTAGACAAATGTGATCCAAACATGTTTTTACTAATTTCTAATTAATCTAATTTTTTATAAAAAAAAAAAATTCATGAAAGACGAAAATAAGCTAAAAAAAAAAAAAAAATTCTAAACACCCACAATATCATAAAATTATAAAATTATGAAGAACGTGTTAGCATAATGGCCATTGGTGTAGCTACATTGTAATCAATGGGTTCAATTGAACCCACTGAAAGGTTAGACATAATCGATGTTAATTCAATATTTTAGCTAATACTTTGTAATTTCATGAGACAAATTAAAAAAAATAAGTTATATTTTGGAGTTTCATTAAAATGACCCCACTAAATTATATTATTTTATGAGAATGCCAACTTTTCACATAAAAAAGTACTGATTTTTTTTTTCTTCTAAAATATGATTCATATTCGAAACTTAGTTCAAAATCAAAAACAAGATGAGATATTTCTAGCTTTTTATATTTTTAATTGTTTTTTTTTAGTAAGTTAACACTCATGTAATGTATTTTGATTATTAATTGACTCCGCTAACAATAATCTGGCTCTGCCAGTAATAATGTGTCACGCTTTTAATAAAATTAACAAAGAGATCAACAAATGAAAATATTTTTAGTGGGTCACACTTTATGTTTTCTTAAATGATTAAAATTAAAGACATTTTTTCTCCGATTATGAATCTCCATGCATCCTGCACATATTTGATGAGAGGAAAATTCATATTTTGTTGTACATTTCCACCGTCAACAGTTTTCATTGAAGTTATGGCAAGCACAAATTTGCTGGGGAGTGTAGAACGCTGGACTACCTCGTGCACAAATTTGCTGGGGAGTGTAGAACGCTAGACTACCTCGTGCACAAATTCGCTGGTTTTTCTTTTTGGCCAAAAAGAAAGGCGAATGTTTTCTAATATTTGTCATTTGTATATATTTTTAGCCACAATCGTTTAGTTTTATAGCTTCCATTGTGCGCTTGATTTCACATTCCATTGTTTATGAACAGCTTCTTGAGTGTGCATGCAACTTGAAAAACTATTTAGCTATCTACAACTGTAATGATTAAAAAAAAAAAAATGTATGTGATTGTGTGTTAATTTATATTTGCCAGAGGATTTGTGTATATGATTTTGGATGCTTGGTATGCTAATTATTAAGGGATGTACATTTTGATTGTATTTGGATAATGAATTTTGATAGAAATTTGAAAAAGAAAACAAAAAAAATGGCAGTGACATGTAGGTAGAATATAACTATATTTCATTCACATTTTACTCATATTTTTTTCTTTCATTTTCCAAATCTCTATTCAAATTCATAATCTAAACACAATCTTGGAGGGCATTGCATGTGAAATAGTATGAGAGCTGTTTATGTCCCATTTGCGTTTTGATTGTATCCGTCTAATTTTGTTTTTACGACCATAATAGGATTGGTTAAGAAAATTCGATTCGATTAATTAGAACTTCCATGTACATAGATCATTCATAAAAAAAAGTTAAATGGATCAAATAATTATAATTACATGATTTGTCTTTACAAAAATTGTAAAATATTTTTGATTTTAATAAAAAAATTGTTGTACATTTTCTTAAAAGAAATATGTTGAAATCTTGCGACCACAATTTCAAATCAATATCATTTTTTTGTTTTTTTTTTTTTTATTGAGGAAAATGCTAAAAACTGCCCTTAGGGCTATTGTCAATGTCGCAAAATGTGTAAAAAATATATTAAAATGTGTAAAAAGTATATAATTATATGGGTTTGGTTTCTCTGAAGTTATCATCTCAACTTGAGAAAACGTTTGAGCTTGGTAGGTCCATTTTGGGATCGATTTCGGTGATCTGAATCGTTATCTTTTAGACTCACTAAGTAGAATATTCATATAAAAAATCAAGACGATTGGACATTGATAGCTATATGTTTGAATGATATTTGTTTTAAAAAATGAATGACAAATATAATTTAAAAAATAGCCATTCATTTTTTATAATACCAATTTGATTCAAATGTATAGCTACTGATATCCGATCATCTTAATTTTTGACATGAATATTTTACTCAGCGAGTTTTAAAAAATGAACACTTCAGATCACCTAATCGGTCAAAAAATAGGCCTACCAAGCCCGAACACTCTCTATAATATGAATCTATAGCATGTGAATTACTAAGATAAAAGTTAATTAGATACAAATATTATACCTTAAGGGTTACAAATTCTGTAACACCCCAAAATTTATACAACAAACCATCCATGACGATAAGTAAATAACCATATAAATCAGAGTATAATATCCTTCCATTACATATAATTTGGTGGTACAAAAAGGTGACACATGCAAATATACATTCATAAGCCTTAACCTTGAATTTATAGTATGTGTCAACAACAAAATATGAAATGGAAGTTAAACAGATAATCGAAATACCCTGAAGGCTACAACTTTCCAAGACTGTACTTGGTTATATCAATATGGATTTAAATCCAATACAGATAAAGCCTTAGGCTTGTATAAAATAATTACAACAAATAAACAACATGAAGTTTTTGCTCCAATCCTCCCAAGCACCCTGGCGAAGGCATCTCACCAACACCTGAAAATAGTTTTTCCATATACGGTGAGCCAAAGCCCAGTAGAAATAATCCAACACAATATATGAATCTAAACAAAGATATAAGGGTGAGATGCACATGCAATGCCCATGTCAAAATGTTTTACATTTCTTTCCCAAAAACCATGTCATGCTCAGTTTATATCACAATTCTCAATTCTTGCCCTTTTACAATAGAAAACAAGGAGGAAATCTCAAACCAGTACAACCTTTCACAGAAATTTCGTCCGTGAGAAATCGTCAAATGGCACTCATGTAAACGTAGCCTATACAAGTGCTACTATTGCCATTATGGATATTTTGTTCGCGGGATTCGGCACCCATGTATACGCGCATTTTTCAGGACTTTCACCCTGGACACACAGGCCAACTTGATTTGGTAATACACACGTCTTTCCTACGTTCACCTATTTTTCTCAAAATCATTTACATTTTCAATGTATTAAATAAGAAGCAATGTTCAATGCACATGGATGAAAAATTAGTTTTAGTTCACCTAATTCTCATGCAATTTCTACAACACTCATAGCTATCCTCCACCGATAGCCCAAAACAGATATCTCTAATAAATAGAAAGATTTCAATAACAATATACATTATTATCATTTCCAAGATGTGAGCGATATAACATATCCAATTCCACCATCATCATCAATATCCTCCGTCACCATCATCAAGACGTGAGCGATATGACAAAACCAACATCATCCTTCAATATTTTCCTAACACAAGTCAAACCCATAATTTTAAAGCAAAACCTAATTTTCTTTCAAAATCATTTTTGAGTAGAGAAAGACATCATTCCAATTACATAAAAACCAACATCATTTCTATTATCTTTACAAGATCAACATTTGAGATTTCTAGAACAAAATTCCTTTTTTCTTTACAAATCATTTCCAAAGGTAAAAACCCATCACTTTATCATATATCAACAATAAACACCTTTTTACTAGCATTTCCAACAAACCATTTGAAACCCCTCCTTTCGATTTCCAATCAAAATCCTAGATTTGTCCAAAAATCTCCAAAAATCACAATATTGTTTTAGAAATATCAAATAACTAAGTTAAGTATCATAAGAGGGTGCGTAGAATCCCTACCTTAAACTTAGAAGATGAAGAAGGAAGAAAAGCCCAATAGTTGACGGTGACGAAACAACGATTTGCTCCAATCAAAACGAGGCCCTTTGACAAGCTCTACACGTAATCTCAAAGGAACAAGGTGAGGAGATGCTTCTAAGTGAGTAGATCTGAAGATTTTTGAGTAAAAAAGTAAGTTTAGAGAGAAAGAAGAGTGATTCACGGTTTAGAGAGGGGAAAGAGAAGATAAAGTGAAGAAAATGGTAAGTGAGGCCCTATTTATAGTGCTACATTAAAGTGAAATAAAGTTCCAAAATCAACCCAAAAAAACAAGTCAAAATCCCCAAGAAGTAGGGCCCAAAACCGAATTAAAATCTAAAAAAAAAAACTCACAGGGGTCGACCCTTGTGTCGGTGGTGTCGACCCTTCAGGAAGAATTGACAAAAAGACAATGCTAGCAATAGACAAAGTGTCGACCCTTGGACCCAAGGTGTCGACACTAAATTTCAACAACTAAACCAAGATTTTGCAGTAGACAAGGGTCGACCTTTCTCAGATTGGTGTCGACCCTTGAGGTCAATAAGAAAAGGCAAGTGTCGACACCACCAAATGTTGGTGTCAACCCTAAATTTCAGTAGCGATCTAGGAACACAGCAGCAAGATGGTGTCGACATCTCCAAAGTTGGTGTTAGCCCTTGGAGCAGAACAAGATAAGGAAATGAGGCAGTGTCGACACCAACAAGGATGGTGTCAACTCTTGAAGCCAAAACCAAACATAAAGAGAAAAAGAACGATCGCCACAGATATGGTTTCCCAAATTCAAAAGCAATAAATGGGTCTGGTCTAAGCCCAGATCACTATAAATTCCAAGGTTCGGTCCAGTTACAATAAAAGTGAGTTTTTCTACCCAATACATATATAGCCATTGGCTTGCAAAATGTTAAACAAAGAAGAACCAAGCCTTATGCTCCAAAAACATCCTCCATGCTTTTATCTCTGCAAAGGTACACCATCAGTACCTGAAAAGTTGTTTTCACACATGGATGAGTATAAAGCCCAGTAGAAATAATTTATGAAGTTTAACAATATCATGAGGTGCAATACACATGAAATGCCATGCAAAATTTAAGTTTTCTCATTTCGAAATTTTCATGCCATGCACTTGTTTCAAGAATTGAAATCCACCAATTAATTATTTGATAAAATAAGGCCGGTAAATAGGACACTGGTAATTCCTAGGTTGGTGTTTGCAAGTAGGCTCTCAAAACACTACCAAAATCACTTTACAGGCTCCTAATTAGAAGGAGCTTGGTACCTACTCTGCGCATGTTTTCAGACTTTCACCATGGATCTCAAGCCAACTTAATTTATAATCAACTACGTCCCCTAACCGAACTTACCAAGGTATTTACCCCATTAACTCAACACATTTCCAATATTTCTAATGAATCAATTTCGAAAGCCAAGTACTCAACTTCAATGCGAAAATTAAATCATGAGATTATGTAATGATCAATGAATTTGTAAATATTTCAATTTATCTAATTTGCATGTGAGTTCTACAACAATTAATACAGCACTCCATTAGTTGCCAAAACAATTATCTCTATTCAAAGTATAAATTCCAAGAGACAATAAATAGTGTATAATCTCATATTTTCAATAGATTCAAAATGGGAGTAACAATCAAATGTTTCAACCTCATTCTTCCAAACTCAACCAAGATTCATAATATTTCCAAATTTTTTAGTTTTTCTCAACAACCAATCATTTATCCAAACTCAACTCAATCTAGGGTTTTGACAAAATTAAGGCAATCCTCATTTAAAGATGGTTTTTCTCAAAGATCATAGAATTTCATAACACATATTCTCAAATATTAAAATCCTTGAAACTTTTTGAGGAATTTCCCCTTTTAATGCATTAAATACAGATTTAAATAAAACCCTAATTTCTAATATAGCTCAAATTACCAAAATAACAAACAATAGAGGTACAACACATACACAATATTTAGAAAATCCCTTCCTCAAGCTCTATAGGAGAGTAAAGGGAAAAAAAAATCCAAAAAACCGACGTCGTCGTCGAAAAACAATCTCCACAGGTCAAAATGATCCCCTCAATATGCTCGTCAAAATGATTTTAAGAACTAGGGTCTAAATATCAATGGATTTTGGTGGATAGAGGAATTTATGTGGGTTGATGAGAGTTTAGAGAAAACAGAAAAAATGAAGTGTAGCGAGACAGAAAAGTGAAAAGTGAGGGAAATACGAGAGGTGCATCAAATTTCAACAAAAAAGGTTCAAAATTCGAGGCTATCCAGATTTGGCCGCACCTACGGTCCCCCTAGCTGCGTGTGCGGCTCTCCTATACGTGCAATTTACGGCAGATTGAATCCAGTTTGCCCACCTCTACCACATGTGTGGCCCAACTCCCCGCATGTACGGGCCCCAATCTGCATGTGCGGCCCAAGCTGTTTGCATGTACATAACCAACTTTGAAACCCCAATTGTTGCACTAATCCTCACGTGCGGGCCTCTCCTGACCACACATGCAAGGAAACTTCATAGTCCAAAAATCATTCTAAGGCATTTTCCACACTCCAGTTCCATCCTTACGCTCAAAACTCGAAAAAGCTTAAGAATGTTAAGAATAAAAGGGTTTACAACATTGACACGTCGCACAATACTCCACAACTCCGGGATTAAAACATATAGTTTGAAAATTAAGGATTCAAGTCAGATCAAAAACCTTAAAAATGTCACTTTTATCTTAGAAAATTCTAATGTCAGGGACCTTAAACTTTAAAAAAATAAAAATAAATAAAAAATAATAATAATAATAATAATAATAATAATAATAATAATAATAATATTAATTGGTACATGTTCAAGTTTTTGTATATTTTTTGAATTTGTTTGTTTAATAGTTTTTTAAAAATATATTTTTCAGATGCAACTAAGTTAAGTGTATCTAAATGTAAAAAATTTATTTAAAATATTAAAAAAATTCATCAAAATTGAAAAATATAAAAAATGAAAAACTCGACTTTTAAAAAAATGATAAAAAACAAACAATATAACCTCTTAATCGTCACATCCAACTGTTCTTCTTCCTATCCCGCACATTACATGGTTGATTAAAACCTTCCGTCGATTGAGGATACATAGGCTATTCACATAGAAAGCAAGAATCTCACCTGCGAGAACCAAATGGATCTGTTGGGAAGAGCAGTGCAAAAGTACTTAGCATTTTTGAATTCCCCCCCTCTCGCTCTATATGTATATAGACATGTTTGTATATGTGTGTGTATATAATCACATTGTTATTTTCTCTCAGTTTTTAATTCATCCTGTCAAAATAACTGTTAAAATTGATGTATTATTGATTGATGTATGTTATGTTTACAATGAGTCCTATATATAGAAGATTAGAGGAGGTAGGTATGTAGTAGGTGGAGTAGTAGGTGGAGTAGGTGAAGTGGGTGGAGTAGGTGTAGTGGTAGGTTTTGGAACGTTTTAACAGCCCCCCGCAAACTCAAGGGGGATAGGAACTAACCAACTTGAGTTTGGAGAGAGTAACAAAACAAGAAAATAGACTAATACATAAAATAAAAGAGGATAGGAGACACTAGATGGTCGTGTCAGACCGTTGGTGAAGACACTGGATGGTTATGTCATAACGTTGTAGAGGACACTGGATGGTTGTGTCATAACGTTGTAGAGGACACTGGATGGGTGTGTCATAACGGTGTAGAGGACACTGGATGGTTGTGTCATAACGTGGTAGAGGACACTGGATGGTTGTGGCAGACCGTTGTAGCAGATAAAGTCTGGACAGTTGACGAGGTCACACCGGACCGATAGAGAAGCTAACCGGAATCAATGTCGGGACAGTTTATGGGGTCATGTCGGACCGTTGGAAAATACACTGTATGATGGTGCATATAGGCTGCCCAAATATATATATACATGGATATATATATCGAGCCCTCAAAAGTCGCGCCCTCAAAAGGCGCGCCCACTTCATCAAAAGTCGTGCCCGACAGAAAGCGTCGAGCCATCAAAAGGTGAGCCGGAGACGCGGCGAGGCACGTGAGCGACAGAGCGGCGTGTCGGCCGCGTTGTCAGTGTCGATATAAACCAATGCGGAGGCTGTGGAAACCAAACCAGGCTGAAACCGCTGAACATTGTCAATCTGAAACACTCTGTAAATACTCTGGATCCAACCCTTCTCTAAAAAACCCTGCGTTTTCGGAGAGAGAAACTTTGTAACACTTTGTAGCCCAGAAAATGGCCTCTTTTTCCCGTGGTCTGCTCACTCTCTTTCCAGACCTCAACGAGTCAACAAGAGAGATAACTGGTGCGGTGGCCCGTGAACCTCAACCAAACACCTCTGGTTTTGCTCCGTTGAACTTTCCGATGCGGTCTGTGGAGCAAAAAATGGCAGTGCAAACGGATATTGAAGCTAATCAGTATACATTGAAGTCATGTGTGGAAACCATGACTGCGGTCACAAACCTGTCGCACCGGCTGCAGAGTAGGACAAATGAGGCCATATGCTGCAGTGGTGGAGCAGGGAGGAGTGAACGTGCTCAGCGGATTAGGAAGCACAGAGACAGCACCGTCAAGGACCGCCCAGGACGGAGGCAAAAAGAAGAGACCGGCGGCTCAAAAATGAAAGATGGGGGAAATAAGGAAAGTGGTTTGGAGAAAATAAATAAAAATAATGGAGTTGGAAATCAAACGGAGGAGAGATGATGATGTTTGTTTGTTTTTTTTTTTTTTTTTTTTTTGTGAAAAGTAAGGGAATCGAATAAAAAAAAAAAATATGGAGATGGTGATGAAATGATAAGCATGGTGATGATGAATATATAATAATGAATAAAAATAATAAAGGATGGAGTGGGGAACAGGGCGAATCGAGAGCACCAATTAAGTTTTATAATAAAAAATAAAATTTGGGCGGTGGATGGGTGTGATTAAAAAAGAAAAGTGAATTGGGTGTGCCCCTTTCTCTCTCTCTTACGGAAAAATGGTGAAGGAAACAAAATGTATAAACTAATGAAAAGAAAGCAAAATATATATGTGTGTGTGGGGTTTTGGATTCTGAGTATGTGCATAATAATAATAATAAAATGAATGAGGAGAGAGAGGGTTTTATGTTTAAAGAAAAGAAGAGTGGGTAGATAATAGTAAAATAAAAAGAAACGAAAAGAGGGGACAAAACCCATGTGATAAAGTGGAGAGAGAGAGAAGAGGGTCAAGTCCCTCCTGTGTCTTTATTTATTTTTGTATATCCATCTTTGCAGATCACCACTTGTTCATCCTCTCACCCCCTCGCCTCTGATTTTATTTTATTCCCTTCCTCTTCTAGCCGAGAGAGAGAGGGCCCTTTTGGATGCATGGTGTGTCTTTTCTTTATTCATTTTCCCACCGAGAGAGAGAATGTGAGAGTAGAGAGCAAACACTGAATAAACACAGTGTGCAGAGTATCCAAATGAGGAATTAGGGTTTCCCCTATGTACTGCGCCAATTGCGCGAAAATCAACAGTGCCGATTTGCGAAGCTTCGGATTGTCCGACGTGACGCACTGGAACATAAACGGCAAGAGCTCCGGCCAGCCACCGTCAGGCAAGATCGAAGAAGCGAGCGCTGAAATGGTATCGCAAAGCTTCTTGGAGATGATTCCTTCTACATTTTCATTGTTTGGGTTATATAAGAATGTGTTGGAACTTATACATTTTTGTGTTAGAACTTATACTTTGTTGGCCTGTTAGGCAGGTCATTTTACAGGTAAACGTATTAAAATAATAGATTATATTATATAGGTGAAAGTATTACTCTAAAAGGCATCCATGTTTTATGGGGACTTATATACCAAGTTTAAGTTTCGAAGTCATCCCTTTGTTCTATTGTTCTTTTTTTGGGTAAATTATAAACACATTCTTAAGATTTGATTAAAATATGAGTTTCTCTTATAGTTTTAGAAATTATATCCCGTCTCTTGAATTTTTTAATTTCATAATAAATGATTATTTTTTTTATTATTAATAAATCATCAAGTTAATTAATAGTTTTTAATAATGTCAAAATTTTATTTCAATTAATAATTTATTTAATTTTGTTATTGCATAGGAGAATAATTAGGAATTTCATTTTTTCGATTAATTCTGTTAAATAAAAAATTCTAATAAGGAGGTATTTGTAATTTTTCAAATCATAAAGGACAATTCATATTTTAAGCAAATCTCAAGGGTGCATTTACAATTTTGTCCTTTCTTTGTAAGTAATGTCTTTATTCTTTTCTTTTTCTGCAATGTGGACCTTTTTTTTTATTCTTTGGGAGTTTTCTGATGCAAGTTTCTATCAATATCATGCATATAAATTGAGAGGTGAGAAACCCTTTCTACTTTTGCAACAAACATTCGATCACATCGGGCTGTGGTGTAATGCTATTCTAGTTTGATAGACGATTCACGATTTCAACAAATTAAGAGTCTGGGTCTAAACTCTTACGTCTCAATAATAGGTCAGCGGTTTGAATTTCATGTGAATAATCATATTCTCCATATATATTTGTCACTTTAAGGATAAGAATTTCTGTGTACTAATTATGTATTATCATAATTCACTGACTTTCATTTTAATAAATAAATAAAGCAATGATATCAGGTCTACTCTTCTCGTTCTAATTACTTGTGTTTAATGTAGTGTTTGGTCCAATCTTCACTCTCCTAATTAATTTGCTACTCTCTCCTGTAGTTGCAGTTGGTGTTGGAATTGGTGACTGCGATTAATATTGTTGATTGGTTGCGATCCTGTTGCTGAATTCTGATCTCCCTCTCTCTGTCTTCTTTATATATACATATAAAAGACAAAGGTATGTGCACTTGAAATACAATGCTTGAATGCTTCCCTTACTATTCCATTTGATTCCTGTTCAATTACTTGTTTTGATTTAAATCTTATCACTTTTCATCCTGTATTGTTGCTTGACTTATTTATTTGTTTTTTGTTTTTTTGGTACTTGCCAAACACAAAAAGAAGAACTATATATTTGTTGGAAATTGAAGATTCAATCTTTTGCTGGAGCGATTATTTATTTATATAAACACAATTTTCATTTTAAATAATTGATTGCAATTTTAGGTTTAAAACTATAAGATTTAACTTTTATTATTATTATTTATCAATTAATAAATCAATAATACTTGAAACCACTAAAAGTGGTGCTCTAAAAGCACCACTAGTGATGTGGCAGTGGACAGGGCCCACTGCTTGTGTCTTGTTTTTTTTTTTATTTTTTTTTTATTTAAAGTGCTTGCCAACTCATTGGTGATGCTTTAGAGCATCACTTTTAGTAGAATGTATCATTACCGTTAATAAATTTGAAGACATTATATTTGGACAATCATTAGTCCAACAATATAGAAGTCCAAGAAAATGAAGACAAGATACACAACACAACAAACCAACAAGTACTTTTTTTTTTGGGGGGGGGGGGGTCAGGATTGCTAGGTGAGTAATTACAAATATAAAAAATATTACATCAAATTGATGATTAGCCTAACAATAGGTAGAAAGCAACAATCATCAAGCCCTGTTATCATCACAAATACAAACTTGGAAAGAAATAAAATAAGGGACTATTATATACAACTTCAATAATGAAAATAAATAAATAAATAAACAACATAAGTGTCAAACTTATCTTTATAAAAGTTGAATTTGCAATCTCACAACAAAGAGTAGTGGTGCTACTACATAACCATCAGACCAAAGCCCTAAAGAGAATTTTTTTTGACAAGCTAAGCATTAGAACGCTCACTCAATAACACTTGCACTCCATTAATGATAAGATTCTGAATAATCCTAGGGTGTGTTTGTTTTGAAGGATTAGGAGGTGGGATTGAACTATTAATCCTACCGGACTAATAGTCCATTATTTGTTTCATTTTTTTTGCTCAGGACTAATAGTCTCCCGGACTATTAATCCCACAAATATGGGACTATCCTATCCTATGAGGAGAGGTGGGATAGAAACCATGAGATTGGTATCTCATGGGATTATTTTGTGAAATATTCATTTTACCCTCCATGCTATTACTTAGCAAACAATTAGAAAAGGATAAAATGGTCTTTTGAACATTTATAAATTATTTTTTTAGCATTGTTAATTTAAAATTATATATTAAATAAAAAATTAAAATTATAAATTAAATTTAATTAAAAATAATAAATTATAAATTATGGCCTTATAAATTAAATTTTTTTTAGTATTGTTAAAAAATTAAATTTACATATTAAATAAAATTATTTTTTTAGTGTTGTTAATTTAAAATTATATATTAAATAAAAAATATAAATTTCGCTCGAGCGATCTATAAAATTTTAAAAACTTCTGCGAGCTTGATTTTCAAGCTCGAGCGAAGCTTCTTTATGGCCTTATAAATTAAATTTTTTTAGTGTTGTTAAAAAATTAAATTTATATAAAAAATATAAAATATAAATTATAAATTTAATTTAATTGAAAATGATAAATTAAAATAATTAAAATATTGTGCAAAAAATAAAATAAAATAATTTTTTATTTAATTTAGCTAAAAATAATTAAAATATTAAAGCTTTGTTCAATATTGCTATTACTTAGTAAATAATTGAAAAGGATAAAATAGTCATTTGAGCATTTATCCTTCTTTATAATATCCCAAACAAATATTGGATAACTAAAAATAGTCCAATTCAGATATTTAATCTCATGACTAAACAAACATAGGATACAAATTTAGTCCAACCAAATAGTTTCGGACAATGTATCCCAGGACTAATAGTCTGATGGATTATAATCCTCCCTTATCCTGTCCGTCCAAACAAACTAAGTTATTTATGGTTGATTCGTAAAGACTTCACTTATAGTCATCCAATCAAAAGATGACACCTCATTGATAATTGTAAGCGTATCACCTCCTTCTTGTTCCCTGATCCACGCCTCCATTTCCTTCTCTCTTTATAGGTCCGAGCTTTCCATTCCTCACCCAGCTAGTATTACCAACCATCAACCAAGCCAACGGTTGTCCACCACCGAAAACCATCACCTTGACCTTCCACGCACTAACCACTGCCCCATCCCTTCGGTCCCCACCACCGACCACCAATGACAGTCCCATCCCTCCTCTATCTCTGTATGTAGGGCAAGACAATAAGAGGAACGATCGACAATGAGAAAGTTTTGGTGCGAAATCGATGACGGTGAGTAGTGTTAGAGGATGGTTTGCATTGTTCTTCGTTTTGTGTTTTGTTAAAAAGTTCAAGACTTATTTTTTGTAATAATTTATTGTTGATTTATTTTTTTAAGAAACTTTTATGGTGTGTTTGGTTAGGGGATTTGGGGAGGGGGATTTGGAAAGGGAAAGAGAAAAGGTGTGTGAAACTATGTGAAATGTAAGTATATTTTTTTTACATTTCACCTACCTTTTCCATTTCCCTTTCCAAATCCCTCCTCAAATCCCTTAACCAAACACAGCATTAGTGATTTAAGATAGAAATAGATTTTGAAAAGTGTAGGATATAATATATATACACAGAAAAAAAATAACGATGAATTCATATTGAAGGTAAATCACAAACTTTTCTAATATCCATAAGCAATGGAGGAAAACTACTTGAGCTTTACCCATACAACTCACAATACAAAAGTTGTATAAAATTTTTATGGGAAAAGAGAACTTTTGTATTTTGTTGTACGTAATACAAAACCCAAGTTCTATTTATATAGGAGAGTAGAGAAGTGCATATTAGGATACGTATATTATCCCACATAATATTTATTCCATATTAATATTTATCCGATATCAATAATTATCCTATAATTTAAATAATAGATGAAATATGTTATTATTTGGATATCTCCTAGCCGGGTCATGCCATCATAGGCAACCAAGCTGGGTTCGAGCTCTAAACCTGATTTCATTTCTAACAACGAGGCTTAAAATGACAAGGGTGAGGTTTGGATTGGGTTGAGCTCCCAAATTGGGCCAAACCCATTTACACACTTTGATGTGGCCTAAATAGGAGATTAGGCCAAGCCCAATTGGCCACTCCATAATGGACCGAACATGGGATTGGGTCGAACCCAATTAGCCACTCGAAGGTCAACCGAAAAGCAACGTGCACTGGATGCACCAAGTCAAATGAACTAAGTTTGGTGCCTCAATCAGGTCAGACAAAGTAGATGGACGATCCTGGGCCGATTAAAGCCTCAAAGAAGGGATAAGCCTTGATCTTGGTCCAAAGTAAAGGACACATCACCTTGATCCTCCTTTCTTGTGAAAAATAATAGGAAAGGATATTTTCTCGTGCAAAGTGACATGGACTACATCTCGTAGGTCTGCACGCCTAGAAGACTCGTCGCTCTTCTAACTTACTCAGGTACAATTCCAAATAAGACAAAAGGCGACCAAGGGACAGACTGCTGATACCACCCTTGGATAGCATGGAACACATTGCCTATAAAACTTAACTTCCACTACTAAAGAAAGGGCCTTTTGAGTCGGTTTTTTGAGTCGGCAAATTTTACCGTCGCAAAAGGTAGCCTTTTTGAGACGGCATAGAGTTACCGACTCAAATACCAAACTTTTAGTGTCGGCACCGTTGGCCGACACAAAAAATTAATATTTGATAGTATTATTTGAGTCGGTTGAATTTACCGACGCAAAAGATAGACCTTTTGAGTCGGCATAGACCTTTTGCGTCGGCAAATTTGTGCCGACGCAAAAAATTAGACCTTTTTGTGTCGGCAACTGATGCCGTAGCAAAAAAAAAAAATTTATAACCAAGATATATATTTATTTACTTGATTATATTTAATAAATATATTTATTTATACATATACTTTTATATTAATATTGAGTGTATATACTATAAATAATATATATCTCGTTTAATATCTGAAAGAGGTGTGGTGGTGAAGTGGGTGTAGTGCGTTGACCTTGGGTCAACTTGTCCAAATGGGTGTGTGTTCGAACCTTGGGAGCCTCAGTGAGAAAATTATGAGTTAAATTTTTTAAAACATTTAACCACTTTTTGAGTCGGCAATCTACCGTCTCAAAAAATTAAAACTTTTTGCGTCGGCAGATTGCCGACTCAAAAACTTTTTGCGACCCCACCATTTTCGTCCCTTGAGTTGCCGTCGAAACGCCGTCGCAAAAAGTTTTTGCGTCGGCAAATCCGCTATTTGCGACGGCAAGCTGCCGACTCAAAAGCCCTGTTTTCTAGTAGTGTTCAGTGCTCATTTCGAGGACATTCCATAGTCTCTACAATCACACACTCTCTCTACATTTGTTCTCTCTTTTGTCTCTCCAAGTCCTTGACTTTAGCATCAAAGGGGTCTTTTCGCCAAGCGAGCGGATCCTCTAGAGTTACTCTCTAGAGTGATCTCCTAAAGTGGATGATCGGACGGCTGTGGTTAAGCCTCACCAAAACGACGTCGTTTGGTGAGGACTTTCAAAAAAAAAAAAAAAAAAAAAAAAAAACCAGATTCGGGGATTCAAATCGCTCTCTCTCTAGTAATCTCTCTCTCTGCCATGGCTCTGGTTCTCTGCAACTCCATCCTAGTCCTTCTTTTCTTATTCTCTAGCTCTATCTCTTTATCAACCCAAGAAACCCCAAACCCAAAACTGTCCAGAACACTTGTCAACAAGTCTCTTTCTCTCTCCTTCCCTCTCACCTCTGTCCCTCTCTCTTCTCACTCTTCTGCAACTTTCCTCTCCTCTCTTGCATCTTCATCTCTACCAATCAAACGACCCCCCCCAGTCACCAAACCATCCTTCTCCCCCTACAACTACAGAACTGCTTTCAAGTATTCAATGGCTCTGATAGTTT